ATATCCTTTAATAACATTAATACACCACCAAATTGCTTTCTTTGTAGAACAAAGACAAATACTTTAAAGCTTGTATAGTGCCTAATTCTTAAGGCTGTCAAATTAAGTTAATCAATTTAGCACAATTACAAAATGTACTGACTTCTTTAAAAACTGTAGAAATTAGAGAAAATGTTTCACTGTATAATGTACATAAATAACTTGGCTTAAGCCAAGTTTGTTTTAGTTTATTTTTTTTGTTTTTGGTGTCAGGGCTGAATTTTGGTAGCCATTCTTAAAGTCATAGCCAAATCCGAGAGTTTAGTTATGGGCTTGCATTCATCCAGATCAAACAAGAACATCTGATATTGTGAAATTGGGTCTCTTCCTAGCTCTCATTTTGAGTTCATATTGTTAAAGTAGTACACACTCTAATTTTGCTTTATAGACACCACTATCACTGGTAAGGGTAGATTTTACCATAGACAAAACAACTTTGATCTGAGTCAGGCGTCTTTGAAATGCCTATTGCCTGGACAGGCCCTATCCCTTATTTGTTAATCAAAGTCCAATTATAAATCTCCTGAACTTGTTGGAGTTAGGAGGGTCAGGAAATGACCCAATGACTCAATCCCTGGGCAACTGGACAGTGGACAATTACTTTCTCTCAAGGAGATAGGGAGATTGAAGTAAATGATACTGGTTTCTTCTAGCCTTAAATTGAATAAACCAGTGATAAAATAACAAAAAAACACCTGAGTAAAGAGACTTACTGATGCACTATGATTAATCACCTCCATAACTAGCTTTCCCATCAATAAACTGAGATTATTAATTCACCCATTTACTTTAACATATTTTCAACTGCTTTCTTCTTATTTTCTCTACACCAAAGCCTATGCCTGTCTTTTAAGATTATATTCATCCTTCATCTCCTCCCTCCCTCATTCACTCATCCAGGGGAACTAATGTTTTGTTATACCAGGTACAAGGTTGAGCTAGTATACTAGGCCCTAGGAATGCAAGGGTAAACAAAACAGGTATGGTCCCTGCTCTCTTGAAACCAACAGTCTAACAGAGATGGCCAATATTATAAACACAACAAAATTTCAATTATTTCAGTAATGCTAAGTACTAAGATGTTATGAGAACTTATAAATAGGGGGATCTGATCAAGTCAGGGAAATCAGAGAAGGTGTCCCTGAGAAAGGAACCCCTGATCTAAACTCTGTGTTGACAGAAGTAGGCCTTAACCAAAGAAAAAAGGGAGCAAAAGTAATCTATTCAAAAGAACATATCAGCACCCTACAGTGGAAGCACACATGTTGAACATGAAGAACTAAAAGAAACTGAAATGAAGGGGGCTGCATATTGTATATATTGAACCTGGAAAGGAAGACAGGTTTATAGTCACAAAAGGGTTAGAAGCAAGAGACTGATATGACTGGATTTGTGTGTTATAAATATGACTCTGCAATGTGCAGATGGGTTTGAAGGGAAGCCAACATGGTGTGTGAATTAGGAGGCTATCATAGTAGTTCAGGGAAGAGCAAATCATAGGTAAATCCGAGTAGAGACTACAATGGAGGAAAGATAGATAGATAAATAGGTTTAGGTGATGGATTGGTATGGGAGTGTATTATTTATCTATTGCTATGTAAAAAAATTACCCTAAAATTTAGTGTACAATAAATACCTCATAATTTCTGTGTGTCAAAAATTAGGATATGACTTAGCTGGATGCCTCTGACTCTGGCTTAGTCATAAGGCTGCAGTGAAAGCACTGACCAGGGATGCATTTACCTCAAGGCTTGACCAGGGAAGGATTCACTTCTAAACCTAACTCATGTGACTGCTGACAGGCCTAAAGTCTTCATTGACTTTTGGCTGGAGACATCAGTTCCCTGCAACATGGACCTCTCCAGGGGTACTCACAATATAGAAACTTGATTTCTTTGTATAAGGACAGAAGTAGGGAGAAGAACCAGAGCAAGGGAGTAAAAGCAGCTGAGCAAGAAGGCAATCATATCTTTTTGTAACCTACTCTTGGAAATGACCTAACAGCATCATACTATATTCATTAGAGTGAGTCGCTAGGTCCAGTACACTTCCCAGCGGAGATTACACAAAGGACAAACATACCAGAAGATGTGGATCAGTGGAGGCCATCTTGGAGGCTGCTATGCCACAGGAAGAGAGGATACAGGAGGCACTGTGGAATTAGTGAGAGTGGGAAGGATGGAAAAGGCCCAGGTCTGGAGAAGTTTTATTTTGGACATGGTGAATTTGAAAGGACAAGGTTCCTTTAATTCAATCAATAAATATGTGTTTACAAAACACCTATTATGTGCCAAGCACTACTCTAGAAGATGAGATATAATGATGAACATAGAAAAAAATCCTTGCCCTCATCAAATTTACCTTCTAATAACTTAAGACAGATGATAAGCATATAAACAAATAAATACAGATAATGATAAGGAGAGAAAGAAAATAACACAGGACAAAGTTGTGAGTTTCTCTTCAGCTTTGTTGTTACAACATGCTTTTCAGTGACCCAGGTAGATTGTTAAAAGCCTTAAGATGTCTCCTGGATTCCCCCTGTACTCACACTGACTTTTTGCTTCTCTTAAGGCACTTATCTAAAACTTCTTTGTATTATAGTGAAAGTCACCGTTTGTGTCAGGCCAAAAAATTGGACCTCCTCTCAACCCCCAAGATGCCCACATCTACCCCTTGGAAGGTGTGAATGTTTCCTTATCTGGAAAACAGGTCTTGCAGATGTGACTAAGTTAAGGATCATGCAATAAAGAGATAAACCTGAATTATCCAAGTGAGTCCTAGATGTCATCATAATAGTCCTTGTAAGAGATACTGAGAGAAGATATACACACAAAAAAAGAAAAGGTATTCATTGTGACCATGGAGGCAGAGACCGGAGAGATGCAGTCACAAGTCAAGGAATGCTAAAATCCACAAGACGCTGGAAGAAGCAAGGAGCAGTTTGTCCTCTAAAGCTTCCAAAGAGAGCACTACCCTATTGACACCTTCATTTTTGGTCTTCTGTCCTCCAGAACTTTGAGAGAGTACATTTCTGTTGTTTTAAGCACCCAGTTTTTGGTAACTTGTTATAACTGTCACAGGAAACTAATACGCCCTTCCAATGTTACTCCCTATCACCAGATTCGTGGGATTTATCACAAGTTGTAATTATTTATTTACTCACCTGTTTATTGTGTCTCATCCCCTTGAATGTGTAAGCTCCATAGAGATGGGGCCTTTCCTCTATACCTAGTTCTTGGCATAGTGTCTAGCATATATTACAACCATAGGAATTATCTGATAAGTGAATAAATGTCCCCAGTAGATAACAAGTCTTATTAAGACAAGAGACGATGTCTATTGGCCGTAATTCCCAATGCATCCAGCACAGAATCTAACCAAAGACTTATTGAACTAGGTTTGAGCTCTAGGAATCAGGGATTCTGGATTCTAGATATTTTTACTGCAACATTATGTGGCAGCCTCACCTCTGCCTGTGTACACACCTAGTGTTAGACTTAGTGTGTTGAAATAAGTTTGTTCCTTATCAGTTTTCTTAGCCTTGATAAGGAGCAGGTCCAGACAGCATTCATTTTCTCATGCTGTGCCTGATTCACAGTGGGTGGCATACTGTAGGGGACACAAATAGTTAAGACTTTTTGGTGAATTAGAGTATCAGGCTTAGTCATAACTAAAAAGTCACATCATGTCCTTGAGTAAATTCCTAATCAATGCTGAAATGAAATATTCTCAGCTGAAAGAACACTAATCCTTAACGTCACACAGTTGTAGACCTGTGAAGCACTTGGCCTGTAGTAGGCGCTCCATGAGTGGTACCTGGTTATTAATAACACTATACCAGGAGCTAACTCAGCCTTGAGTACAACATTAGACAAGAGCACCAAATCAGCTCCATCACTTATTGGCCATGTGATCTTGGGCAAGCTATTTTACCTTTCTGAGCCAAAGACTGATAATAATAACAACCTTGTAAGAGTGGTTCTGACCTAGAAACTAAATGAAATAACTGAATAGTTAAACTTAGGAAAGTGCCTGACTCAATACTGTATGTAGTTATTATTTTGAGCAAAAACCCTTGGCTTTTTAACATGTGCAGTGATTTTGAGTAAAATACTCTACTTCCTTGGGCCTTCTGAAACAATGAAAGGGGCTAGCAGTCCCTATAACTGCCTCAATGAGACCACGTTTGGGAACCTTCGAACCAAAGGCCATGTGAGGGTTCCACAATTCCACGCCTCTTTCCTTCAGCAACCTACCAGTTAACGGTGTTATAAAGGAGACCAAACCGACGCGACAGGTTTTCTAGAAGAGTCCAGCACCTGCGGTAGCTCTTAAACCAGGCTCATTTTAGGCTTTTTCCGCACACACAGGTCATGACTTTACAGAGCGCAAGTCACGGGTTGGGCGGTCCAACAACTCTAAGAGTGTCCCTAGGTTGCCAGGGCAACGTCGACGTCACGGCGTATTCTCACTTGCCCATAGGCAAGAAGCCCACAGAGCTCAACGCGCAGGCGCCTCGTGGGAGCCAATGGGTGCGGCCCCATAGCTGGCGCCGCTCGGCCCCTCCCTTTTCCGATCGAATTCGGGGGCGGGGCGGCGGCGGGAGCGCGCCCGTCTCTCCCGGGCGAGCTGGCGGTTTTCGGTGGCTTCGTGGTTGGGCTCCCTGTTTCGTAGGTTACGCACACAATCACTCCCCAGGGGGCCGCCCGGAGCCCGCCCAGGCAGCTGCGCCGTCTCATGCCTGGGCACCCCTGAGGCGGGGGTCGCGATGGTGCGGGGCAGGGGCTCGACGAGGAGCTGACCAGGGGCTGAGAAGAGTCGGGGCCACGCACGAAGCCCTTCCCTTACCCGCGGTCGGGCTCTGGGGCTCCGGCCCGCCGATTTCCAGCCATCAGGGTCACGCCACTCCCTGGACGCCCTGAACTCCGTGCCCCCCAAGCCCCTGGCCCCCTGCGGGAATGTTCAAAAATGAGTACCAGGTAACCCGAAACGACTCTCCAACCTGTGTATAGTATTTTCCTCTAGGGTGAGGTAGTTCGCATTCGGGGTGAGGACAAAGATCCCTCCCCATTCCCCCATAACTGGGTCTTTTTCTGGGTGCGGAGGAAGTACTGGATGAGTGTGGTCTTCACTCCAAAAGAAAAAAGAAGAAGGGAGCCAAGGTTTGGGCATGTGATTTGGCTTTTGTTCAGTCGTCAGCTCAAGTTCTTTTCAAGCTGTATGGATTGCCCGTGACTTATTAAAATGCAGATCTTAAACCCCCAACCAGACCTCCTAGACCGGAATCTAAAGGGCAGGGCCCATAAATCTTGAGTTTTACCAAGTGCCTCTCACTATTGATACACACTGGTATCTCACGTAATATAAGTAAAATATATTGCTATAAAAAAGCATATGCCCACTGTGGGAAACTTGTAAAATCAGAGAAAGCGGAAGGAAGGGGAGGAGTATTTTTCGAGGTACAAGGATCTTTCTTTAAAAAGGGAGGGAAAAAACTGCCTCAGATTAAAAATTTTTTTTGATATATGACCTAATTCCAGAAGTTATAGTAATTTATAGTAATTAGTTCCTACACACAGTTTGCACATGATACTGGCTAAGAGATTAAGTGTCTTAATGTGACTGTGTTAAAACTAAGAAGCCAAAATATCTTTATATTATTGGGAATAATTAAAAGCTGGAAATTCTTTACAAAAATCAGACGGATTTGCTCATCTGCTGCTTATAATTAAAACAGACTATAAAAGAAAAGCATATTTAGTCTTCATTTCAGATTCTCAATTTCTTGCAATTAACTCTTCCTCAGAGATAATCATCTTAATTCTTTTCTTTGATAATTAAAGCTTATGGATATTCAGTTATGTGTTCAGTATTTTTACATAAGCATGGCCCTCCATATTCTCAGGTTTACAATAGGGAACACATGTCTATAGAAATGATTCTCTATTTTTCTTGTACAGATTTTGTAGATTTCCAAATTATATTAAATATCTGCAAAGATCTAGGAATGCTCAGAATAAGAATTGTCTCCCATCCCTCACTCTTTCCCAAGCTTTTTTATTGACCAGTGCCAACATATTCAATTCGCCCTTTTTTTGAATATTTATTGCTGACACTATTGAGCCCTTGTTATGCACAAGGTATTGTGCTTGATGGTCTATTTACTATCTCGTGTAATCCAACAACCCATTTTACAGATGGAGAATCAAGAAGTTAAATAGCTCTCAAGGTTGGACATTTAATAAATGCCAAAGCTAGTGTTGGAGCTCTGGTCAGTATGACTGAAAAGCTTGTAGCCACAGATAATTTATCAGAATTTATTAGCCTGGCTCTAGAGTTGAGTTTAAACCCTTTAGTCAGACATGACTAGAATGTTTTGTAAGCATGATTTATACATGGCATGTAAAGGAACCCCACACTGAGAGACTGTAGGGTTTGTGTAACATAATTTAATGTATATTGTGCTTTGAAAAAAAATTCCTTAAACCATTTCTCCAAGGTGACCCAAATCAGAATGGTTGTGGCTTAAGTACAATCAGGGTATAATGTAGGAGTTATAACAGGGGTAATGTTTCTTCCCAGATCTACTCAACAGACAGATGCCTGGAACAGCAGTTATAGACTCTGTGGTGGGTGTTATTTCCTCCTTAGCACTGCCTTTCACTATAATTTAAACATGTTTAATGTTTTTGTTTTCTAGGGAGGTGCATTTGTTGAAATCTTTAGTGCTCAGGGCAAAAATCCTGGAGCAAAATGGAAGATCCTTGGCAGTCCCTCTGTGATTTGGAAAGTAAGTGCTGGAAGCTAGAGCCACCTAAATCCTGGAATGAAATGAGAATGAAGGTTATAACAAAAGGGACTTGATAAGGTTTCAGAACTGTATTTACTGGTTCATTCATGACGCTGTTGGCTGCAGCTCTCCCAGAAACCATTCCTCAGTCCTTTAAGGCTTTGGCACAGGGCTCATAACCCTTCTCTGTAAACCAAGTCCTATTGTTGTTTCAGGTGACTTCAGTGTTTGTGAGGAAAATCTCTCCAAACCTTGTGCTTCCCAATTTCTTGATTTCTTCACTTAACAACCTCTTGGGCTCTGTGTCAGCCCCCACTGCCACTGTCACGCCCTGGACCTTATCACTGCAAACTGCAGGGCCTCTGAAATCAGTAAGACATTGAGACATGCCCCTCTGCCCCCGAGCTTCAGTTCTTAAGGCTGTTTGCTCAGTTACTCACTGTATTTGTTCTTCAATCTAATTGAGACCTTTAGGCCACTGGCCTTTCTACTTCCCCTGTGCTTAGTTTTATTTAGGCTTGTACGTTCTCTATTTTCACTTCCTTTACTCTCTAGCCCAGAATCCACAGTCTGTAATTTCAGTCACTTCCTGGGCAAAACCTTGAATGCCCTTGCTTTTTGTTCTTTCATAGTGCTTGCCTAACGAAGGCCAACCGTCTCGGAATCCCCAGTCATTTATCTTTTCTGAGCTTATTTTGGGGCTCCTCAATAACTTTGGAGAAAATATCTATAGCCTCTTAGATTAATATTCCTATAAATTCAACGTGAACAGCCTGGAAAGTTCTCTTTTTATGTTCTCTTAGTCTTTAAAATGATTATTATTATGTTTAATGTGTATTTATTTTTGAGAAAGAGAGCACAAGCAGGGGAAGGGCAGAGAGAGCGGGAGACACAGAATCCGAAGCAGGCTCCAGGCTCTTAGCTGTCAGCACAGAGTCTGATGCAGGGCTCGAACCCACAGACCCCGAGATCCATGACCTGAGCCGAAGTCGGATGCTCAACCAACTGAGCCACCCAGGCGCCCCTAAAATGATTATTTCTTCATTATCTTCAGGGTTTCAACCACCAATTCTCCCTACCCCCTACTTCCGAACCTATAACCAGGACAGGCCCTCTTCAATGACTCACCAGAAGACCTCACGCCCCATTTCACAGGACAAACTGATGCCATCAGATTGAAACTGTCTCAGCTTGCTGCCACCAGATCTAAAAACCTATATCCATCCTTATCCTTTTCTCTTTCTCTTCTCTCCTATACAACTAAAGAGAAGAATATCTTTCTGTGGGCCTTGTTCTATGGAAAACTCTTTAAAGCTACTGTTAACTGAGTGCTTACTGTTTGCCAAGTCCAGCATTAAGCACGTCATATGTATCTATACGGTAGTCTTTTGAGATAGGTACTTTATGCCAATTTTCTGGATGCTAAAACTGAGGCCATAGAGAGAGTAAGCAACTTGCTTAAAATCCTACAGCTCTGAACTGTGAATGAGAGTTAAAAGATGCTCTGACGGTATAGAGCAGGGAGTGTAGGAAAGGCTTCCCCAAGGAAATGACATTGGATCTCTGAGAGCTAACTATATACTGTGTGGGGCTGGTAGAGAGAAGAGTGTTTCAAGTAAAGGGAAAAGCACATACCAATTCCTTGTGCAGGAGAGAGCTTAGAATTTTTAAGAGATTGCAAGAAGGCCACTAAGGCCAGGATTGAAAAAGAGAGAGAGAGAGAGAGAAAGATTGAAGTTTGAAAAACTGGGCAGCGCCCAGACCACGTGGCAGGTTATGGACTGTGTTGATGATTTGGGTAAGCTGTTGAAAGGTTTTAAGTATATGCCTAACTTGTGTATAGATGGAATAAATAGTACACTCAGTCTATGTGTGTTCATTTCAAATACGTGAGAGATGCTGTTGTGATGGATACAATACAGATTTATTTTAATGTTATTTAATTCTTAGCAGCAATTAGTTACAATGCATTTCTTAACACATACAGAATGGAAGATTGGTAGGATCTGTGAAATAACAGGTATTTATACTCAGATTTCGAATTTGCTTCAAAAAAAATAGAAAAAAATTTCTATTCCCACTTTAAGTCATGTAAATTGGACTGTCACGTATAAAGAGGCTTTTTATTTTCAGCTTTTGTTTTGTTTATGTTTCTCCTACATTAGATTTTTTTTAAGTTACCTTAATTGTTAACACTTTACTTTGTACTGATTTTAAGTAGGTGATACATAGAACTTCACATTAGGGCACTAGTAAAATAAGGCAATAATTAATTCTGTATGAGCCATGGCCAGGCACCAAGGAACTTATGGACTGGATACAGTTTAGGTTAGATGATTTTTTTTAATGTTTATTTATTTTTGAGAGACAGCACAAGTGGGTGAGGAGCAGAGAGAGAGGGAGACACAGAATCTGAAGCAGGCTCCAGGCTCTGAGCTGTCAGCGCAGAGCCTGACACGGGGTTCAAACTCGTGAAACACAAGATGGTGACCTGAGCCGAAATCTGACACTTAACCCACTGAGCCACCCAGGCACCCGTAGATGATTTTTTTGTACTGTAACACAGAGTGATGTTCAGCCTGTGCCATTAGAAATACATAAATAAAGTGAGAGGAAGAGTAACTAAGCTCTGGAAACTAAATTAGTAGTGGGAATCCCTGAAACTGGGGAACTTCTTACAGTTTGGGAGGAAGAGTTTCTTGATACAAGAGGATTTTTCAGGTGACATAGTGTGGCTTCTGTAGTCCAGTTCCCAGCACATTTCAGGGTGAAAGTATCATCAAGGCCTGAGCCTACTTTTAAGCCATTTGAATCTGGGACTTTTTTTTCTGTGGGTTTGCAGCTCCAATTTTATAATAGAAGCCAAATACCATTGTTTATATTTTTGTTCTACAGGAGTTTGATAAAGAAGCTAAAAGCTTTGTGTTTGTCCTGGAAGGCAGCAGCCAAACAAACAAAATCCAGTTACCAAAGGAGAATAAGCAAATCCGTAAGTAAGATTTTTAATATTAGAGCTTAACATTTGATTCTTAAAGTTATACTTTTAGGTCTACTACACAGGCATTAGTTTGATTTTTACTGGCATCTGTTTACTTAAAGTGATAGGCTTGTTTTTAATTTAGGAAGTAACCTTTGCCAGGCTTTATATAATATGTATTGAATATATATAAATATTATATAAATACATATATTCTGTTTCAATGTTAGTTTGAAATCTGGAAGTGTTTTTAAGAAGATTTAGAAGATTATTTGATAGCCATTGATTATCATAGTACTGATAGTTATTGAGTAATTAGTATGTGCCTATGATTTCCCTAGCATTTCACATTTATTAACTCTCTTAATCCTGACAGTGGTTCTTTTGCAATGAACACACTGAGGTTGGCTCCTCATCAAGAAATCAGAGAGTTAAGGGTAAGCTTTGAAATAAACCCAGGAGTTCTAAATGATAGGAATGAATTCATGAGAAAAAGTTGTGTAAGAAACTATAGAAGGCATTACTTAATGACACATCAACTTGTAATACCATTAGGAATATTAATATTTAATATGGTTAGATATAAATGTGTTTCAACAAAAGCCCAAAGAGTAGATTTTCAATTCTTACATTGGAAATTCGGATCAGCATTTTAAAGCAGAAGGAACCTTGAGAGATCACCTGAATTTACAATCAGAAGCCCAGTTATTGGCAGAACCAAGGTTAAAATTCAGGACTCTAATCACCTATCAAATTGGGCTTTGAGTAAACTGATGGCAATGTAAGAAATATAGTTTTTCAAAATGATTAATCAGATTTTCATCAACTTTATGCTATGTATTTATTAACTATAGATTTCAGGTGGTTTATTAAGTATAAGCAGCCAGTTATTTTTTTATGTTAATCATTTACTTATCTGTTCCTTTATCAATTAAGAACATTGATTGAGGGGGGGCGCCTGGGTGGCGCAGTCGGTTGAGTGTCCGACTTCAA